AAGGCCAAGAGTCTATTGAAAATTTTATTTGTTTATGATTTATAGGGTTCTTCATTTTGAATGAATCTATCCTTATCTATGGGATTCTGCATTTTAAGTTTCTTAAACACTTGTAGAATCTACGTCTACAGACGATATAACTATTGCTTTTACGACTTCAATGTTGAATTAAAAATATAATTTGTCAATATACATACATACATATGTATACTAAACCATTCCACAATCTGGTATTACATGATATACTTGATTTTATTTACTTGACACAAAAAACCTTCATCACTAGCAATTACGGTCTTTATCACAAAAATCGCAAGAATACCACAAAATAATCTTTAAATAGATCATTTGTTTAGGATATCGTGATCACATATATTTCAAGTTTGAACGCTTCTAACAAATACACTTTTTGTTTCACTAATTTTAAATCCATTTCTGTCAATAATATCAAAATTATTCATAATTTTATTTTATTTTTTCTTTTTGTTGAAATTATCAGAAAATCTTCTATAAATCAAAAGTACAAAATGATCTAAAAAAAAAATTTATAAATATATTACTGATTTCGTGGATCAAAACTTACCATCATAAAAGAAAGCTTAAAAATAAAATCGATTTAAAAAGAATCGATACAAAATTAAATCTTCTGGAAGGCGCTTTTCTCTTTGTTATTATTCTTAAATTTTTTTCTTATTTCTCAATTAATTCCACTAAATTACTATGACCAAAAATTCACTATACGTACATATGCACCAACACAGTTCTTCATTATATGAAAACAAAAAATAAAATCTATTTTTGAATAGAAAATCATAATTTTATTTTTGACATAATCATTTTTGGCATTAACAATAATTCTTTAGAGGTGTATTAAATCATTCACAATAGATATAATCGTATGTGTATCTACGTATAGATTATGTACACGCATTAAATATTCTATGTATACTTATGCGTATATAACAATCGTATCTATTTGGATGACAATAAATCTACACGAAACTGTCATTCTTTTAAAGAATTATGATAAAAAAAATATGAAAAATTATTTTCATAATAGTATTGAAGCGTTTTCTATGTTAAAATAATTGTGAAAAATTTATTTTTAATTGTGGCAAAACTACAAATTGAGCGGGCAATCTTAAAAAATTTAAAATTTTCTTAAATTTCTTATTACAGATCATACAGGTAGATGCCTATATGTAATTCCGAAGTTTTTTTTATGATTTTATGAAACTTTTTAAGTATTTTAATTTGATTTATTACCGACTGACGAGAAAACTGCTAAAAAAGCGGAGGAGAAGAAGTGAGCAAATAATGTAATAATGAATTACATGGCAGCTAATGAGGAATTAGCCTTGACACTCGTTGAATTGAGTTGAATATTTTCACTGATCACAACACTGTAAAAGCGAAATTTATTTTTCTCTCTTTTCCAAAAAAATAAACACAATTCGAAGAAGAGAGGAAAATTTTAATGAATTGCTTCATATTTGAAAGAAATATTCGAGGAAAAGTAAATAAAAATTTGACAATCTTTGATTTTTTGTTACCTTAAGTAACAAATTTCGATCTACACGATTATTCTTTAGATTTTACCAATAAAAATTTATTTTTATTATATTTATTATGGACGTGTATGTAATAAAAAGAAATACAATTTTTTGTTTTGTTTTCTATTTTCAAAAATAAAAAAGAAATCATAAAATATTAAAAACTACTCATAATTCTTAAAATTTACACTCATATGAACATTGACATGATATCTACGGCTCACTGCACGATTTGATTATTCAAAAATATTTACAATGAGCATATGGTATGAGTTTGTAATGGTATGTTTGAGTGTTTATCGAAATTGGAAGAGAAATGATTCCGGTATTGGATTAAGGTCAGAAAAAAAAATTGTTTTTATTTTTTAATTTATTGTGTCAAGTTAATAATAATCAACTACAATCACAACAATATTAATAAGAGTTAACAATAATACATTGTTAATCATAAGTTAAACAAGATTTTTTTTGTTTTTTAATAATTCTTTCATGCATATTGTGTATGTATATCCGTTTACTCTAGCAATATAACAATGGAAAAAGAATAATATAACAAAAAAAAATAAATAAATAAAAATTGACTATCTAAATGGCAAAATAATAAAAATATATGAAGAACCCAATTCTTTTTTAATTCCTCGATTGAATTTCTTCATTATTTAGGCTTTTCTTACAAATGCGATTATTATTCTTTCCTTTTCTGTGTTTCTGTTATATGTATACGTACATATGTATATTATCAAAAAGTACATTGATCGCTTAAGTACACCTTTAAACTGCTTTTTATTTTTAATTTTTTTTTTGTTGTTGTATTTGTATGCCCAATTATTATTATCATTGTTGTATTATATAAGGACGCATAGAAAGTATAACACATAAAAATTTATAACAATATGTAAATTAATTGATTGATTAGAATTTACATGTGTAACATATTGCATAACTAAAAGAAACAAAACTTGAATTTAATAGGAAAATGATCAAAGTTTGTGGTCAATCCAACTGACTTAAGTCATCTAATTGTAATAAGGCTTGCAGAATATATTGCAGTTAATGTATGTGTTTAAAACAGATTAGATTGAAATGTTATTGTATATTCCGATCAAATTTAGATTTAAGTAAAACCAAAAGCCCACATAAGATCCATATTACACAAGAAATAGGTAAGGTAACTCCAGAACAGAATTCATAAAGTGCAGAAACCGCCTTTTGCTCAATAGATCACATATATTAAGAAAACATTCCTTTGCCTTCCTGCTTTCGCTTAAAAATGTTCGTAAAACAGTACACAATAGGTCCTAGTTTATATGTACGTAGATTGAAGAACAACCATTTAATAACCGCTTATATAAAACTCAATTTTTTGATACTCATTTTTACATGCATACAAACTTCGATGTTCACACATGTATCCATAGTTTGTAAATTTTTTAATATTGATTTTGAGTGATTTTATCACGTCAAACAACTATTAACTTATATTATTACATTTATACATATATTTTTGAATATGCAAAACACTCTTACAATTTTCCTCAATACAAATGAGATAACTCTTTTAAAAAACGAAACAGAGAGAGAGAGATAAAGAGGTCGCTCCTACATTATTAAATTTAAATGATTGTAATTTAAGTAATTATGATTACATAAAATTTAAGGTTAGGAGAATCTTTAGCATTAAAATTCTTTAAAATAAGAATCGAAGTGAACTAAATTTAAAAATGGTAAAATTAAGAGAAAACCTCGAATTTTGTTAAATAATGATAATTATAACGGAAATCATTAAAATAAACTGTTCAAATAAATAATATTAAATAATTTATAAGGTTATTTCAATTAAACGTCAGAAAGATAAAGGGAAGGACAAGAATAATTATATAGGCGCATCACATACGCGGTTTCTCTTAGGCTACTGCGTGAAGGTTATTTCAAATAAAAGGATTGGCTTGTTTTCGTTAATTATGGCCCATTACCTTGTAAATTTTTATGAAAGTGATCGCCTTAGGTTACGCGTTAACAATGCATTCTATGCATGTTATGTTGCTTCGCACATTTGGAATTCAATATTCAATTATTACATACAAATATTGTAATACTACAATAATCGATTGTACTTGTATTGTCGTATACCTAATTATGAATTGAAAATAATCGGCTGAACAAACATTTTACCAAAATCAATATCTATTTCCCTAGTAACATATGTACATATGTAAGTATTATGAAAGAAAACTTAGGAAATTTTAAAAAGAAATTATAAGTGAACTTCTTTTTCCTATTTTTTATTCTTTTTCAAATATAAAATTTAAAGGAAATAGAAAAATATAAAATAAAGAAATGAAAGCTAATAAGATTATTTGAGTAACCAATAACTGTGCGTTAACCTCACGAATATGAAATATAATACAACTTCCTTATAAATTTTGTTTTAAAGAAATTAAACAAAATACTTAATTAAATAAAAGAGTGGATTTTGTATCCATAAAGAATAATAATACAAACATTATTAAATTTTAAATTGAATTCCTATACTTACATCTTTACTACATTACACACGTGCACATGTAATTATAACAAGTGTTATATTTAGCGTATACACAATCCATATAACATGGAACACATATTTAGAACAGAAAGCATTATTATACGAAAATCTTTGAACATAAACCTCGATTGATTGTAAATAATTAAATTTTATACTTCCTGGGGAAAAAATTTTTCAATATTGAACGATTAATGACTTAAGAACAGTATTGAAAACAGTATAACGTTATTTAATATGGTAACGGTTTTTTAGTCCAATGTGTTATAATTGGTATTTTATCGACTATTTTGTTTTAATGTTATACAATATGTGTTTTTACATGTTATACTAATTTTCTTTGTTGTATTTAGTTATTAAAAGTTCTTATAATTTTATGTTAGATAATTTTAAATTTAAATAATTGCTATTCGTATTTATAAATATGAAAATTTTTGTGCAGAATTTATTTTTATAATGAAGCCAAGGGGATGCTCATGTAAAACTCAATTCTGACATAAATTTTGTTTTATCTGATTAGGTATTTTTTTAATAGTTTGCTAATGTTATAGAAAAAAGAGAACCAAAGCAGTGAGCAGCAACGGCGAACGATTTCCATTGCTAACCTGGAACAATATATTTTAAATTTATCTGTATTTAACTGTAAGTACATACAAAACGGCGTCAGTGCTGAGAAATGTTACAGAATTTCATGGAATGTCAATTCCTCTCTCAGAACTCAATGTTATAACGCGAACTCTAACTGTGAGAGAATTTATTAAACATAGTTGTATATTTTCTCTCCAAGTTTCTCAACTTCTCTCTAATGGTTCTTCAACTTCGATTATATTAAAATGTAATATAAAATATTTTTACTAATTTTTAATTGACAGATTTATAATTTAATAAAAATTTTTTCTTTTATCTTTCAGATTTTTAAACAAAACAAAGAAACTAATTTCAATTAAAAAAATTGTGGATATTTTTATGAAAATGGTAAGTTTTTCTGTAAACATTTTTCAAATAATTATTACGATAAAAAGCATACCGTATAAATTAGTATAACACGATTTGATAGACTTGATAGTTTGCCTGTAAGCCCTTCTTAATTTTGAAATTTTAAATCATTTTTTTTAATTACATTGAAAAATTTTTTCAAAATTTCTTTGTAAAATTACGAAGACATAAAAACAAAATTTAAAAACTGGGCGATTGCACTTCTTCTTTAAAATTTTTCTTGACATTTTTACGAATTAATAGTAAAGTTTTTTTTTTCCAATACAAGTTTCCAAAAATGGCAAAATTTCAAATCGAAAAGCAAATAAAATATTTTACAACCTACTTGTTTACAATAATCGTATAACATAGGCTTTATTATTTACTATTATGCCTATTATGACTATATACGAAAATGCATACATAGATGTGTATATATAATATACCTCTGTAACTATGGTATAGATATCTGACTATAATGGACCATTGCACATATTCAATTTAAAAAATCGATAATACCAAAAATAACAGGTTCAATAAATTTCTACATGCAATCCTCATCATCTATTTTAACGATTATCATATCCTAAACACAAAAAAAAATAAAACAAAGATATAAGCAATCCTAGACAATATGAAGCCATCACCAAACATGTTATTTATTTTGAAATGATTTCATTGTGGTCTGACCGACCCGATATTTTAATTTCATGTTTACAATAGGTGTAGAAGAAGCTTCTACACGTGCTGTGCAATACGTGTTCTACAATATGGAAAACTCTTTGGACTCGAAAAATTCCAGTAATTCAGTTTTCAAAGTTTTTATTTTATAAATTTTAGTAATATAAAAATTTAATGCATAAATTAAGGAAATTCATTTCGGTCAAATAACATTTGTCCGAAAACGATAGGCTGTCGTATGCAATAGCAAATTTAATACCATCAAAAGGAGTAGCAACGGTAGCAAAACAGTAAACGTAGATATTACAAAAACAAATTTTTATGCTTCTGAATTTCGAACATTATATACATAACTGTTATACTTCATCTAGCTTTATGTACACATTTTGTACTCGCAAGAATTCATATAAAACCTCTGATGTGGAGGCAAAATATAATGGCAAAATTTAATGAAAACACGCAATCTATATAATCGCCAGTATTGTTACAGTATAACAAATTTATAGATTTTTGATTTTTAAAAATATTTAATGCAGAGAATAAAAGAAGAAGGTGGTATCCTTAAATGGTTATTTGTATAAGAAAAACCATTATGATATGATTGTGTAAATTGTAAATCTTATGTACCCAACTAAAAATTTTTTTTAAAAAGTTATAATAAAGAGAAATAATAGATGGAACATCTTTTCCTATAGTTCAATGATCTACAAATTGGAATTCAATAAAAAGTAAGACAAAAAAATTAAATATTTTACAAAAATATGAAAAAGTGATTCACGTAGATCAGTTCGAGCAAACGTAAAAGAATTCATGTTAAGTAATGCGCAGTACACAGAACTAGTTGGCAGCTCTTACATATGTATATTTGGTAATACTTATGCGTATATCCTTGGGAATACAGTTAAGTTGAGTCGATCAGTGAAAAAAATGCAAATCAACAGCGAGCTTCGATAAAAGGCAGAATCCATCTCCTAAACCAACACAATGTTAAAATATTTAATGAGGAAGTTATAGATACGTAATATATGCAACAAAAATCAGTATGATCGGGCCGGGGAAGAAAAAGAAAACGGGAATTTACAAAATTCTAAAGTCCTTTAATAGAGCGTCTGAAGTCAAAGAAAGATCGGAAAGCCAAGAATAAACTGAAAAATTACCATAAGTGTGAAATTTGAATTGGACTACAAAAGATGCTAAAAAAAATAACTGATTAGCATGAAATTGGGGAAAATTAGAGAAGAAATGTGAATTTGCTTTTGAGCGTTGTGAAATCGTATTTCTCTATTTTCCATCTTTTACTCTTTTTTTCTACTAAAGAGAATATTAAATTCGATATTATAGCTAAAAAAATTCAAAATTGGTACATACCTTCTAAATTGTTTGAGATCACTGTTACATCAGAATTGCTTATGATGCAATCACAGTTAAATTTTCAATTTACGTTCATATTCCCTTAGGAATTGTTATACCTAAAATATGTTTTTTAAATCAAAATAAAGAAAATATTTGTATTAATTCTTTTCGCTACTTAAATTTGATATAAGAGAAACAAGAGATGAAAAACAGTCAAACCAAGGCACTTTATTCCATTTATGAGGACTACATCTAAAACGGTTTATGGTATAATGTACACTTATACTTGTATATTTACGTTATTAGTTATACTCGTACATCACACTTGTTGGTACAACTAACTGTGTATGTTTTAATTTTTTGTAGTTACGTTGGTATACTTCTGGCATAGATCACATTTTATAAAGATCATTGAACTGGTCTCTTCTCTTATTTGCTATTAAATTGTAACCATTTCTAGTTTTTTTTTTCAATATTAACATAGGCCGAAGTCATTATTTTGTAAATTTAACGATATAAAAGTTAAATAAATTTTTTTTTGTTTTTTTTTTTTTTTGTTGCGCGATACTATAGTAGGAGGAGATGTAGTATTTTTCAAATATAAATTGATATAAAATTAAAGTGAAAAATACAATAAAGTTTTAATCATATGAGGTAATAATAGAAAAAAAAAATTATAAAAGAAAAATTTTTGTTTTTCTTCTGAAATTTTACACGCTTCGAATAAATTTCAATTTAATAGTGTTATTCATTTACAATTTGTAGTTCAGGTTTGGGCTTCAATAATATTATGCTTTCGTTGGGTAAACTAAAGCAGAAGCAAGAAAATTTTTTATAAAAATGAGGTTTTGGAGTGTTTTTTAAAACTTGTTGAATGGAACAGTCTTAACGTTTAACTTACCAGCTGGGATTTTTTAACATATCCGTCGAGGTGGTTGTAGTTTTTACACCGTTCTCCCAATTTCTTCGTGTTTTACGTGCAATAACAAAATCTGCACTGAGCAAGAGACCATAAAACAGTATGAAGATGCAGAACATATGAAAATGTGAGAAAGCAGAGGTGATCTTCCAGTTTCCCCGGGTTGTACAAGCTGAAAAATAACTATGTATTTCTGTTCAATGGTTTTCATATCTGAAATAGAATTATGATTAAGATTTTCATCGTACAAAACCAATTAAATTACGATTACGCATGTTGCTTCCTTAATTTGAACAATATATGTATAATATGTAATAGCCGTCAAAATATAATAATAAAACCATTAATACTGACATTTGAGATGGAAATTTTTCAATTTCCGGCATTTCCAGGTTGCAAATATATGAAAAATTTCAAAATTTACAAATATTTCCGCCAGGTGTCGTGTGACCAATATTTTAAATAGATAGCTATATTATCTGCATAACTCCGATGTCTGCGTGACGCAAATTCGGTAAACGTGGAAATCGTGTCAACGAAATCACTAAGTCACTACTTTTTTCACTGAATCCGTCTCTGTTGCTTAGATTTTAATCACATAATAAATTTCGCTTTAATATTAACAAAATCAAATAAAAAGTTTTCAATTCATTCTTTATTTTTATTTTTTTCTTTAATAAAAAGAATTTTCGTAAATGGTGTCTTTTTAAAGTAAATACGAGTATTGGCCAATGAAGAAATTCTTTTTTTTTTTGTGTTATTTTATTACACACATCAAACATGTAATTTACAATACTTGTAATGTCTTTAAATTGAAAAATGAAAAACCATCTATTGCTTAAGAGTTGATCGTTGCTATATTGACTCTATATTGAAATTAGAGTATAAGTATACTATTAAGTTTTAAGTGCTCGATTGAATTCATTTGGGAAATGATTAGATAATTTTTTGACATCTCAAATAACCGCATGATCTAATAGATTTTATAGTATAAGTGGAATTCTAAATAAGTACATCTAGTTTAATCTTTATAGTTTGGTTGGTTAAAAAAATTATAAGTTTTTTAAAAGACACCAAAGTTAATTTAGTTTGACCGTATTCACGATATAGATTTTCATGCTTTAAATAAACGTTGCCAATAATAATTACTTAAAAAAAATATAAACTAAATTTTTTAACATAGTAAATAATTGGATTTGAAAAAATTTTAATTCCAAAATTGAAAGTAAATGAAATGTCAATTTATTTTAATGCACAAAGTATTTTTAAAGAACAGTAGTTTTTAGGTGGCAAAAATTTTTTTTTGATTTACTGTTCGAAAAATTGAAAATCGGAGCGAATTTTGTATAGATTCTGCCGGGACGATGAGGACACGGCCATACATATTATGTGTGACTACCCTGCTCTGGCTGTCAAGAAATTTAGATGGTTTTGGTAGGCCTGGTATTTACTTGAGACTGGGGTTATGCAAATTGGATTTGAGACGGCTTCAATAACCTATGGCTGGCAGCGGTGGTCGGAAGAAACGAATTCCGTTGCTCATATCTATCTTCAGGAATCTACAATCTATTGTTCAATAATGCTTACGATAGTTACATAATCTTTGGTATTGAATCGGATGTTTTATTTTTAAATCAATCGGAGTCAGCTTTCAAAATTTTGATTAAGCTTGTTGTAGAAATTCAGGAAAGTGTATTCCGTGATTTTCATTATCTAAAAATAATTAACAGTTATTCCTGTATTTAATATGTATAAAAGTTAGTGGTTGCGTTCTAGAATAAACAGTTCGAATTATTTACTGAATACATACACAAAACAAATATTCAATTTCTTTGTGATATTTAATTTTCTAATTTAAAAAAAATAATATTAAAATTGGATTTTTAAAAATATTGTGATAAGTGAATAGTTCATAATTATATAACAAATATTTAACACATTTCCTTGCATATTAATATACGTGCGTGCAGGGTAATTGTTTTCTCACTAGAGTTGAATTTTCTAATATAATAACTGCATAAAATAAACTGTAAAAATTGTTATTACA